ATCGATACACCCCTTAAAATGGAAACATCGAATGTAAATTGTGTATCGATGCATGGGGTAGTGCATCGATGCACATTTTAAGGAATGCATCGATACACTGTGGAATGTACCGATGCACTTCAATGGGAAATAGAATAAATCTTTCTTTCAGTCTAAGAATTGATAGATTATAGTATATCAATTGGATATTGATAAGTATTAATGCATGATTGTGTAGACATCGATCGAAAGCAAAGTTCGGATAGGCCGTCAGAGTAAGATACGCAAGAAAGAGAAAGAGCTTGGTAGTGTTATTGGTGATCAAGTGAGTACATGATATGAAGTGTAGTTATGTTAAGGAATTATGACTTGCGAGAAGTTTAATTCTGATATTAGGTAATATGAGTACCCAGATGTAAGCATGTAGTGATATGATGATCAGAGAAATTCGAGTCTATGCATATGTTTAGATGTAATTGCATCTCTATGTTTGTGATCTAGGTGAATATGCCTTGTTGCATTACATGTTATGAGATATGTGTTGTATGATAGTGATCTATGAGATATTGATAATAAGTCATAAGATTTCATACATATGTAATATAAGTTAAAAGATAAGAAATAATATGTTATATGCATATGAGAAAAAGGTATATGTGAACTATATGAAATGGGATAAAGAACTATGTGACGTGACCATGTGTGAAAAGGATGAATAATGTGAATTTCATGGAAAAATGCTTCGTGAAAGTAAACTACGTGACTATGTGATCATATGAAATGTGATAGAGAGCTATGTGAAAGAATTATGTGATATGAATATGTGAATGTGTAATGAGGTAAAAGATAATGCTCATGTCATGTGTTATGAGAGCTATAGGTATAGTTGGCATGCCAAGAGTTGAGGGTCTACGCGGTCTTTCGGGACATATGTGTTATATGTGGTCCTTCGGGACATCTACGTGGTCCTTCGGGACAAATTCTACGCGCCCCTAGTGGGAATTATACGAGATGTGGTGACAACATAGTGCACAACCTCTATGTACTCACATACCTTAAGTTCTCAGTAGTGTGCATGGGATAACCAAAAAGGATAACAATAAAATGTGAGTTATAATGAGAAATGTGTTACATGTTTTATATGAGGATATATGTGAATGTGTGTATGTGTTACAGGAAAGAATGGGTGTTATGGGTTATGGCATTTGTTATGTGATGTACATGAATATATGTTAATATATATATATATATATATATAAATGAATATCAATAACTCATATGATGATGTAAAAACATGTTATAAGATATAAAATATGAAAATAAGAGATCATATGAACAAGAGATAAGATATAGAAAGGATAATTATATAATTGTATGAGAAAATATAAATGATGACATGCATGTGTGTATGTAATTGTTACATGAAACAGTATGTATACAAGTATGACGTTGTATTACATGATATGTACATGCATTTGATAATTTACATATGTGTTTATATGTCTCACTAAGTCTATGACTTAGCGTGTGAGTGTTTCACACGTAGGTTCAGGAAAGCCGGAAGAGAAGCTAAGAGGAGCAAGATAAGTTAGTTTCTCCTTACTGAAGGTCAGATCATAACATAAATGAATAACATGTATTTTGTTATATAGAATCAAGTTGGCATGTAGTTAAAAGATTTGTATTAGATACACTCTTATCAGTTTTGTAAAACTATATGTTTTATATCATAGAAAGTAAATGGTTTTATTAGAAATATCAAACTGAATCTTGGGTATTTTGTAAAAGTAAATGTTTTGAGAAGTCAATGTGACACCTCAGACTTATATCCGGGTCGGGTATGGGTTGGGGGTGTTACAAGCCCTATGTGGAACCTCACAATCGCGGGACGCAAAGGGAATAAGAGTCTTATACTCATCTTAGAGAAGCTTAAGGTGAGTAAAATAACTCGAAACAATGGACTCACCTTCATAGAGAGTAGCAATTTATCAGTGTAAAAAGAAGATACCCCTAGCTTACCTAACATCTCATAGACATGAAAAAACATATAAAAACATGAGATAGGTCCAACAATGTGGTTAGAGGAATTTACGTGCATCTCGGATAACATACTAACCTATCTAAATGCAATAGCTTCGGGGTAAGAGCTGAAATTTACGTGCATCGGAACTTGTAGCCCTTAGTCTATCACGGATCCTTAAGAGGTCGGGGTGAGGTCCAGAATTTATGTGCATCAAAAGTTCACATCTCGATCTCACAGATATGGACTCTCGAGCATAAGGTACAATTATGGAATTTACATGCATCAGAATTCGTATTGGTACAACAAGAAATTTACGTGCATTGGATACGTACCCAAACAAAATGTATCCGAATATCAATATAACATAACATAACATAAAAGACAAACATCATAATACTAGATTAACTCGGGTGTCCTAACCATTTCCCGAGTATCAAACAAAGGCTAGTTTTATGTCACTTTATTTCATAACGTTATTAGTCGATTTGTTAATTAGTGATGATATCCTTATGAAAAGGGATCGATCCTTTACACAACAGAAAGTTTGAGATCGATCCTTTTGGTCAAGAGATCGATCTTTTTCCCGAGGGGTTGATCATTTTTCCCGAGGGATCGATCCTTTACTGGACAAAAACTTTGGGATCAATTCCTTTTGTCGAGGGATATATCCTTTTTCTGAGAATGACTTGCTTAAGCTCATGAAACACCCAAAAATCAATCCAACAATTCCCCTGAGACTAGTAAACATGTTCAATGTCTTATTTAGTGCCTTAGAGGTCAAAAGGTACTATCTTTAATGCTTGCAACACACAACCATAGAATATGCCATGAATTGTTTATACATGCTTCATGAAACCAAACCTCCACATGTTTTTCTTACCCTATACATGAAACCAAGTTCATTTAGATGACATTACAAGTAGTAAGGAAAAGTTATAGTGTGTTACCTCAGCTTCTAGCAACTCAAAAATGTCTATAGCTTACTCAAGGATCAACCTTTCCTTGACTTAGCTCAAGGGGGTTCTTGCATCATTTTTCCATCACTCAAAAGTCACTAGCCGATTCCAACATGAAAATGAAGGACACTAGGTGTTAAACAACAACTAAACTACAATAGAAATCATGGGAGGAAGCTCTTGAAGCTTAAACCCTCCTAAAACGTAAAATGAGTTCATGGCCACCATTGAAGAAGATGGCGAGCTTTTCATAAAGCTTAAGAATCCTAGATTAAGAATCTTACCTCTAAATTTTGGATTGAAGAAGGAGGCAAAGAAAGGTGAAGCCTTTTACTTTTCTTCTTGCTTGAGTTAAGAGAAAATGAAGGAAGAAGAGAAGATGAAGAAAGAAAGGAGCTTTTTTGGCTCACCACAAAAACTCACTTCTAATATAGGAAAGAATCACCCCAAATCAACCATATTTTTTTTCAATGGTATAATTACACTTTAGGTTCTTCCTCTTTCACCACAAGCTTAAAAATCCCCTTTTTATCTTCTAAAAGACTAATTTCTTATTCGATTAGACTCAAGTTTAAACTAGAGTACCCTCATAATCTAATAAATCTATTAAATAAATTATCGGGTCGACATGAAACTACTAGGCCAATATTCGGGGCATTACACTCTTAGCTTCCTAACTACCTAACTCGTGACCGTCTACCCTCTTAACAATATCTCCCCTCAATATTTTCATCATTCATTAAATTTTATCTCCGCATTTTATGTATATATTACCTTGTTTCATTTCTGGTGTAGAATGTGTTTATCGTTGGAACAAATACATCAGCAGCCACTGTGATATGGGTTATGAGCTTCCTGATGAAAAAAATCAAAGTGTTTGAAGAGAACTCAAGTGGAAGTGAGGAAATTGATTGGAATAAAAAAGCTTTGTTCAAGAAGATGACACGCAAAGATTAACTTACCTAAAAGATGTGATAGAAGAAACGTTCAGACTACAATTAACGGTTCCATTGTCAGTGTCACGAGAAACAAACAGTACAACATAGCCGATTATAAAGTACCTGCAAAAAGCTTAGTCTACGTGAATGCATGGGCAATAGAATGAGACCTTGAAGTTTAGGAAAACCCAAAAGAGTTTTGTCCTGAACGATTCATTGACAACTCTATCGTCTAGAAAGGACTAAACTTCAAGCTCATAACATTTGGTGGTACTTCATAAATTACTAATACAATTTTAAAACACTTAATTCAACCTTTTTTTTTTAACTTGTAATTTCAATGTTTAAATATGTTGATAACCAAAGGTACTACAGTGATTATCGGCGGTTTATCCATTTTGGTATGAACGGAGAGTAGCAATTGGTGTCGGTGAACTTTGTCTCCATAAAGAGATAGAGAAAAGAGGAACAAATGTAAAGTGGTTGTATTAAGGGTGCATCCTCTCTCGGTCATGTTCAAGAGATTTTATAGAGGTCTTTGGTGTGTGTGTTAGTCGTAGGATTATAGTTACCAGTCGCAACTTCTTGAGGTTTAGCTCTTCGAGATCCTTTCTTTAGAGAAATTCTTTTTATGTCCTCCAGAGCTCCCTTCGCTTCGGAGGGTCATGTATGCTTTGGGGTCCTTCAGTGGTTGCGAGGTGCAAAGGTTGTGTGTGCAGAGGATATTTAGTGATGGTAAAAAACTTATCCCTTTAGTTGAAGAAATATCATAAAGTGGCTTGATTCGGGACCTAGTCGTTCAAGCGTTACAAGACTTTAATGGGTTATACTCGGGAAAACACTGAAATTATTGCTTATTGAATGGCTGGGAGATTTAAATACGTGGAGTCTTGTGTTTGGTGTGGTGTAATGACACGTTATTTTGATCGTTAGGGACATACCACTTCATTCTGTTATATAAAAAGGATTTGGAGTAACTGTCGTAAATCTTCATGCATTTGTTTTCTTTTTTTTTGAAAATTCTACGGGACTTATCAAAAACCCTTTCTACCAACACGAAGTTGGAGTGGACAAACTAAGCCAAAGAATAACGATGTACCCGATCTAAGAGTATTTAGCAAGATTGTGGGCCACTCTATTAGCATCCTGTGGTGCATAAACCACACTACAACTATTAAAAGCATTACAATTATCCCTAATAGGTTGCATGTGAATTCCCAACATAGAAGCGTCTCCTTCCATGCGATTGAACTTGGTAACAACCACAGAACAATCCAGTTCGAAAAAGACATGCTGCCATCCTTCCTTTAAAGAAAAATTCACAGCTGCAGCAGGGCCATGGAACTCCACGAGGCTAGCTTCGAAGCAACCAACAGTGGGGATAGCTAAGCCACCAAGAACATTCCCAGAGGCATCACGAGCAATAACTCCCACTGCAGCAGTTCTTGTAATGGGATCAATAGCGCCAACGGAATTGAGCTTTATAACACCCGGAGCCGGTGAAATCCAACGCCCTATCGGAGGTATCCTCATGCATTGTTGTTTTTCTCTTTGCGAGCTTATTTGTAATTTTCGTTGGAGTTTGCTCTTACAACGATGAAGTGTTGAAAAAGATGAGAAGAAAAAAGAAAGGATAGAGGTGAAGTGTTGACGTATAAAAATATTTTCAAATGTACAACTCGCCACCTTGAGGCCAAAAATCTACTTTTAGATCGGGGTATATTTACGAGTTTAAATTTAGCATCCATACTGGTCCGCAGTGTATGAACGACCATGGGGTGGAAATTATGGGGATCCGATGTGGTTTTACCTTTTCCTTTGCATTTTAGAAGTCGGGTTTCACTTTCCTGTGCACAGCTTCGTGACTAAGGTGCTGGACCATTACAAAATAACATTATGTCAATTAGTCGGAATCAGGATGGATTCTTATGGGCTATTTTTTCATGTGTAGAAAGAAAAAGTGAATAACCTCGATAGTCATATTGTGGTATCTCTTTACCCTTAACAATTTGGCTCAAGAAACGGGCATCCAACTCATATGTTTCACGCAGAGACATGATTAGTTTTACATTAGGGGAACCTATTGTCGGTTAGATCAATCGATGATAGTTGATCTTGGATCTCTCAAAAATTCATCAAGGTGACTCAAAAGATTTAGGATTAACTATGCATTTAGTACTTAAACTATCAATTTTGATTCGTTTTAATATCTAAACTTTTAATTTTATCAAAACTATGCCTAACGTTTATTTTTATTTCATTTTATTATCCCGTCGTTAAAAACTTAACATGTTTAGCACCTAAACTATCGATTTTGATATGTTTTAGTATCTAAACTTTTAATTTTTTTTCAAAACGTAACGTTAACTTTTGAACAGGATACTAAAATGAAACAAAAACTAAATTTTAAGTATGATTTTAAAAAATTAAAAGTTTAAGTACTAAAACAACTTTAACAATGTTAAGGATTGAAACTTTTTCTGATTTTAGCAACCCTTAATAAATTATGTTGGTTTCAACATTATTATTATTATTATTATTATTATTATTATTATTATTATTATTAAATAAAAATCTGGTTTGCTCTCATAACTTCGATGTGCTGATAATAGATATCTCTTGTCTATATATTTCTTGCACGTGTTTGTCATTTATTTGTTCTACTTCAGATCATCAATGTTATGCCCCTTCATTTATCAACTCCATTTTTCTTATGATTTGCAGAAGTTGAGGTGTACTCCAAGTTCTAGGTGAGAGAAAGGGCTATTGGGGTTCTATTAACAATTGTTATGGAGGGATTATCCTTCTGGATTAAAATTAATAAAAAAAAGTTCTACTGAAACGATTTTACAAGTATGAAAGGAAACCACAAATCCCCAAGCCAACAACTAATTGGTAAGGTCCTGAGTAGCCGACCGAGTATGAAAGGGAAAGGTTTGATTTGCATGCCAAACCCTCATGATCCTGTTCTCAGCAAAGCCAGTCGCAGAGGATGAAATTCAAGAGTAGCACAAATTTGCAAAGAAATACTTGCGACAATCGGAATCCGAAACCGCCGAAGCAACTACCTCACAGTTCATTTACAGTAAAGGAAGACGCCCACAATAATTTCAAATCATCATCTTCAACAAGGCTAAAACAAATGGCTCCACACTGCTTGTATCTTTTTACACGGGAAAGAGAAAAAGAAGAAACAAAAAGCCAAGAAATGATACTCCATCACCTCCACATCATGTCGGATCCCACCCAAACGAAATCCAGATAAATTCTCCAAACCCAAGGGCATGAGCACACTACAAGATATCTCATCAGAATGCCTCGTTTTCCCTTGAACCAAGATATTCCGTAGACAACAGAATACGTAACTACCGTGATTGAGCTGGTCGTGGGAGAACTGTAACCCATGCAAAAATTTTGAACAGTCCGGTCCCTGAAGATAAAAGTACAAGCATCCCATGACCTAAAGAGTAGGCTGGGCTAGTCATGGCCAGAATGGCTCTTAAAACATTAATCTAGATAGATGCATCAATTTCCTTTCCATGATCCTCCTCACGAATGCTCCTCTTAAACCTTCGTAACCATATGTCATAATCCATAGGATAAGGTGTTCCACACAAACTATCAACATAATCGGCAAATGCTTTCAATACGGGTGACACATCGCCCAGTTTCTGCTGAATCAATCTCCTAGACCACAATGTCTCCCTCCACTGCAGTTCCCCTTCAACAGAATCAAGATCAGGGAAAGCACCTCCACAGGCAAAATAGAGCATGTAAACCAGGCTCTCAGCATCTGATGCTGAGCACAACTTTCCCTCTTGTAAAGCATAAGTTGATGAAAAATGAAGGTTCATTGCAGGGCGATCCCTATCTTCTAAAATAGCATGTCCCCAACCAATAAGAACAAAATAAGGATGGCTTTCACCAGATCTTACACAGATCACATTTTCCGGCCGAATATCTCCATGCCTAACACCTTCTGAAGAGGCAGTAGAAAGTGCAGATAAACAGTCATGACAACACTTGATAGCATCATCCACGCCAAATTGACCTTCACTTACCATATCAGCAACAGTTTCACCGATTGGACTGGTCACAAGAATTGGGGTGCCACACCAAGGGTGATCACAGTTTCCACCTGAACTAGGTCTCCGACACTGACCAGGATGAATGATCCTTCCAGATGCACTCACTTGTGGCAGATATTTGCTAGATAGGCCTTTCTGTTTCATAATAGTCAATACTTTGGTTTGTCTCTGAACTAGATACCATAAATTCATATCTTCCCATGCTGCTTCCAGCTGAGAAGGATGGGAACCCACATAGAGAAAGAGAGACTTTCCTGGGTCTTCAACTGGAGATGCAACGTAATAAGGAAGCTCGCCATTACTCCGGATTTGGTTAATCTGATAACCTCTTTCCCAGTTTGAATCATCCAACCATAATACAGATCCTACTTCAAGCTTCAGTGACTCAGACTCAAGTTTAACAGATTCATCCTGAACTTCAACAATTTCGGGAGAGACACTGTGCTGCTGGAACTTGAATAAACTATTTCCATTCACTCTAGTATCCCCCAGTTGCCTCTCAAGCCTCCTTGTTTGGAGGCGGCAACCATGATCAGCAGCTAAATCTTCAATGGAGTGCTTAGGCAGGCCAACAAACTGCATAATACAATGAAAAGTTGCAAAAGTTACCTGCAAAGCACCAATATCTTCCCAATTGGCATTTCCAAGCTTGTTCCAGATCCTATCAACCGGGGATACAGCAATTCTGGAATGCCTTTGAATCCACTCAGCAGCACACTTGTAGATATTATTCACATCAAACTCCATTTTATTTACATCTCCTTCAACTTTCACAACACCACCATATTGAGAATCAACAAGAAGAACATAGGCAAAATTTGAACCCAGAGAAAAATTCTGTTTGCTTAAGCTTCTTGAGATGAGCATGCGCAAGGCATAGAAAAGAGCCTCGCCTAGGACAAGTAAAGAAGGCTGTTGTTCGCTTTCCACAGAAAGGATTTGGATATCAGGCCTCACAAGAGCCAGTTCAAGAAGATTGTCCCACTTTCCATGAGGATGTCTTGGGTTCTTAAGCAATATACCAGAAGCGCAGAGACTACCGAGCCTCCCACTAGCTATTGCGTTCTCGGCCTGGTAAAATTTTAAATTTTCTTTGTAAAGACAGGCAATAGAGAAAGGCATTGGTTCATCTTGACTCCAAAATGCCTCCCACAAGCCCTTTACAGTTGCATGTAAAAAATCTTCAACAGCGAGATAAGCAGTTGCTTCAGCAGAATCAGATGTTGAAGCATAAACAGCATTTGGCATTCGAATAAGCTGTTGGAATGAAACCCCTTCCAAAGCATAGTCAAATTTTTGAAGCTCTATCAACTCAAATGGTACACCAAAGGCAGGCTTCATCGGTGCTGACTTCTCATATAATGATTGAAACCAATCTTCAAGATTTGAAGTAAAAACTTCACAATCAATAAATCTGTACAAAAATTCCTTGTGATTACGAGATTTACTGCCAGAAGACACAGTGGACCTTTTTGTACCAGACCCAACTGATTCTTGGTCTGGGGACCCACCTGTCGAACATCACATGTATCAATAAGCTGACAATTAAGACAAGTGACAATAAAATGCACCAAAATAATATTCAAAACAAAGAGAACAAGACAAACACTACAAATTTACAAATAAAATAGGGTGTAGTTAAAGGTTCAAAATCTTTTGAAATTAATCCTCAATTAAAAAGTTACAACACCATACAAAACAGAATAAACGCAACCTAAAACATTTCATGCTGAGGTCAAGAAGATGATACGATACAAACTCTATTTGATGTATCCCTAAGAAGGAAATAAGATCTACTACGCCTCCCAACATTTTATCACAGTCATCCCCACTTGCTGTGGTAAAAATCTATTGCTTCAACTTGGAAGTTTTAACATGCATTTACGAACAGTTAATCCAATGTGCTGTCACCTTTGATGCCATCCAAAAAACGTTTTCCACATCAGATGGAATAAAAAGTTGTAACAAAAGTTTTGGAGCAAGTAGCTTCACTTCCCTAACAATCTCGAAAGAAAGAATTCAGATATCATCTGAAATTTAAATATTCAAAACACAAAATTCATTTCTTAAATCCTATCATCTTAATGATTGAAAGCTAACTAAAATGTCTAAAAGGATATCCACTTAAATGTGCATCACATAAAAATTAAGCCCACATTTATCAGAGAAAGTCCATATCATAAATAAATAATATAAGCCCAGAAAACAAAGATCATTTCCTCTAAACAACCATCTAAGTTAGTTACGCCTCTAAGACAATGGTTCAACTGCTCCAACAAATTAAAGGATTTATATGGGAAGTAAAATACAATAAGAAAAGAAAGAAAAATAAAAGTGTAATTTAACTCAAATGCAATCAAAGTTTTAGTTTCTGCCTGTCAATATTTTGTAAAGCTGCTTTCTTACAGTTATGGAAATCATTTTTGTTTCACTTAAAACGTGTCACATAAATTTATTGGACATAAGAGTTTCATCCAAGATACACAGTCAGGATGTTGTAGAATTATCATAACAGGGTATTAAACTATTAATATAAAAGATGTGCATTATGGGAGCTTGTGAATGTCATTAACTGCCTTCACAATTCTGTTAATGCATATGCATATTAATTTACTCTCTCATTTTCAAATTGTATGAAAGATAATTACCAGGGAAGAAGAGCAAGATGCTGCACACGGTTCTTATAAAGACCTAAGCCATGGGTTTATAATAAACTTGCAACATCGCACAAAAACAAATAAATAAAATCCAGTTTGAGTATATTGATTAACAGAAACTTGAAGAAAAAAAATTATCTTATGAAAAGAAAATGGCAATGCAAAAGCACTACTTGAGAAAGAATGATTATACAACTCAACTATAGAAAACATCACAAGATTTCCTCATAATGGAAATATGCCAGTTTAGAATTAAGTTATCTAGGCCAGTGTAGAATAGATAATTAGGTTGGTTTATATTATTAATTCATAACTTGTAGTTGTATCCCTTCCTGGATTTAGTTACAAATACTAAATGTTATTTTAGTCCTGCACAGGCTTGTAACATGAGGTATTTGAGATATTGATATTTTATAAGATTTTTTAACTTTTGGTTATTGATTTAGACTTTTTGATTCAGAATTCAGATAACTTTTGAGTTCTTTGAATTTAGAATACTTGCTCCAGATCATGTCTTCTCAAGCTGATCATTTTAAGTAAAAGCATATGGAAATACACAAAGCAGAAGCTGTTCTTATGGAAATAATGTTTTGCCCAAACGAACCAGGTACAAGTATATTCATGTAAACAAAAACTCCAACAGTTGGACCATTTCTCCATATTTCACTCTAGCCCATATATTTATTATTATAGGAATTTGGAAAAGCGAAACAAAATTATGTCTACCATAAGGATTATCTCATTGATCTATGACTCCAAATTCCCGCTTATAAAGTGACATTGAGAGTTTTAGGTCAATAAATGCGTCATTTGTAGTCTTTTACACCAAATATAGCCTTCTACCTCATTTTTCCAAAGTGAAAAACAATACGTAGCAATGCTAATATAGTGACATAATGAGTTATAATCGCATTACCATGTTATCCTAAGGCTAACACGGACAAAGCCTTATCTTGCATGTAATTGCACACAGAAATAACTTTGCACAAAAAAGGCCGTTGTCACTGAATTAAGCAAACTATCCATAGTACGAGAAGCCATTGTCTTAAAAGGACCACGGCAAGGCACAAACAAGAAATGCGGCAAAGCAGATGCTATGGGCCTATGGCTACTGAAATCACCTTCCCGGCTTTCGGTGCTAATGCCATAGTGCATCTCCCAAGAAGATAGTGAACTTGCCTTAAAAAGGCCAAACTACACCGTATGGGTCAATAAGCGATTTAGATACAAATAAGTAAGAAGTGGAGGTCAAGAACACAACTCAATTTTTGTTATATTGAGTACCTAGGTTATGGATTGAACATATCTTACATTTTCCCCAATTTTCCTTTCCACGATTAAAGAGGTCTTAAAAAAATTATATAAAAAATGCAAAGTTCAAATATCAAGAAAGCAGTACATGTTAAGGGAAAGAAGCAGATAATTAAAAGCATATACCCATAAATATATAAACAATTAATGGAAGCGGGGGGGGGGGGGGGGGGGAATCAAAGACGTGGTGAAGTAAACAGAGCCAAAAGTGAGGAGCGGAGACAGAAAAGTGATGATTTAGGGTCTAGATTCGGAGGGAGAAAGAGAAAAGAAGAATGAATCTACCTTCCATGCCTTGAGAATTCAGCTCTCCCTCAGTGTCGCCCTTTCTTCTGAATTCAATGGGACTGGCCTGCCCTGTGTTTCTCTTCTCTTCTCTTCTCTTCTTATTGGGTAGACAACAAATAATCACCTCTAAATTTCAGTCCCATTCCTTTTCACCCATGGTCATCATTACTTAAAGAGTAATTTTTAATATTTATATATTATATAATTTAATTTTAACTTTAATGTATATATATATAATTTATTAAAAATTTATAAAATTTTAAAAAGGTTTCTTAATAGGGATTGGTATCATGTAAGGCGGTGGCTGGGTTGGTCGGACGATGAGTCGGATTACAACGGTGGCGCACAAAGCAGATGACGGCTGACGAGCGCGGAAATGGTGCGAAGTTGGTTTCAGCGTAGCTCAAGGACAAGACTTTTTAATTGCTACATAAAGGTCACCAAATTTCATGGTTTGAGTCTCCATTTGGATTGTTTCCAACCATAGGTGAATGGGCCCATTATAAAGCTCACTTGTGGAATCACAAAACAAGAAAGGACACCAAGGTAACCCCATTCTGTTTTATCTTATAACTCTTGGGTAAACTATGCATTTAGTACTTAAATTACTAATTTTATCCCGTTTTAGCACTTAAATTTTCAATTCTTTCAAAATAATACCAAACGTTTGGTTTTCATTTCATTTTAATATCTCGCAGTTATCAACTTAACGCGTTTAATACCTAAACTATCAATTTTAGTCCGTTTTAATACCTCAACTTTCAATCTTTTCAAAACTTAACGTTAAATTTTGAATGGGATACTAAAAAGAAACAAAAACTAAAGTTTTTAATGTAAGAGTACTAAAATGAAATAAAAATTAAATTTTAGGTATAATTTTGAAAGAAAAAAATTAAGTATTAAAACAGACTAGGACTGATAATTTAGATATAAACATGTAATTTACCATAAACTTTTTTTTTAATCTTAATTGAGTTATAACAGAGATTTTAATCAGTTTATTCTTCTATTTTTTTATGGTTGCTGTTGTTGCTCATGTATTAATACTCAAAATATAATTTATCTTGGTATTTACGTCAACTATTATGTTTTCTATTTTATAGTGGGCTTTCTTTTATCTCAAATCCGGGAAATTTATTTAGGCTTGTAAACTAACTGAACGTTCAGCGAATCGTTCGTGAATAGTTCGACGGGAAGTTTGTTTATTTATTAAACGAACGAATATGAATAAAATTTTATGTTTGTTTATAAATGAACAAACATAAACAGATGGCTCGTTTGTTCATTTACGTTCGTGAACGTTCGATAATATGTTCGTTCGTTTATGTTCGTATATGTGTTCATTTATGTTTAGCTCAATCTCTCTAGACCCATTTAAAATATTAAAGCCCAATAAATTTTAATCTGATACCCATAAAAATTTTAAAATTCAATTAATTTTAAATACAAATAAAAAAACTCAAAACAATTAAAAAAATATAATCCTAAAAATGTTATGAAGGAAAAAAAATCTATTTTCATTTATGTTGGGTTACATTCGTTTACGTTCGTTCGTGTTTGTTTCCGTTCGTTTGTTTACGTTCATTTATTGTGTTCATTTATATTCGTTTACATCCGTTGTTTATGTTCATTCATTTGTGTTCGTTTATGTTCATGTTCGTTCATTTGTTCGATTAAAGTTAAACGAACGAACATGAACAAACTCTCGTTCGTGTTCGTTCGATTCGTTTATAGGCCTAAATTTACTCTTTTTCTTTTAGGTGAATAGTGAGAAGATTAGGATCCAATTGGAAAAAAATTGAGAGTTTCACAAAGGTGCCAGCCCAAGAAAAAAAAACATAAAATGGATATATTAAAAATTTCTCTCTAAAATGGGTTAAAACAATTATAATTATTATTCAAAATAATTTATTGTAAATTTTACAACACAATCTCGAACAAATATTTTATCTTTTTAAAAATAATATTCGAACAACCAATTAAATCTTAAATCACGGTGTTTTTAGAAGCACATTTAAAAATCTGACCCTCAATTTAAATCAAATTCAAGTATCAGTTTCGAAATGAATTGAACAATGGGATAGGCTGAATGATCAAAGGATTGGAAGAAAAACAGAACAACAATGATCGTATACATTATATATATAATTGTTTTACTGTTACGACAACTGAGGAGAATGAAAATGCTTTCAGGACATGAGAAGGAAGGGAAGCAATCCTAGACAAGCAATGAAGACATGATGAGGAGATGATGCGAATTGCTTGCTTCATAAGCAAACCGGCGTATCTGATTCGACTTTACAGTCCATTTTTTGCACGATACAGATTCGGGTGTAACATTATCTTTCTTCGGATTTAAGCACACATAAAGATGGGGTGTAGATGATGACGTTACACACCGTATAAAGACGGGTTGGCTAAAGTAGAAGGCTGCAACAAGAATTTTGTGTGACAAGAAGGTGCCTCTAAAACTTAAGGAAAAATTTTATAGAATGACAATAAGACCAATGCTGTTGTATGGATCAGAATGTTGGGCAAGAAGGATCACGTAAGGAGGATGGAGGCCGCAGAAATTAGAATACTTCGATGGGTATGCGGTAGGACTCTATGGGACATGACACCAAACTCTGCAATTAAGATGTCTTTGAGGGTGGTGTCTGTATCCGAAAAATTGAGGGAGGGAAGACTTCGATGGTTTGGGCATGTCCTTAGGCGACAATCATCGGATGCGATCAGGAGGGTAAAATCGATTACAGTCGACGGTGCCAGATGAAGAGGACGAACAAGGAGGAAGTGGGAAGACTGTTTGAGATCTGATTTGAAGGATTTAGCCCTTACCGGTGACATGACCTCTAATAAGAAAGTATGAAGACTTAAGACCAGGATAGCCGAGTAATGTGGGTCACAACCATAGGATACAGCATCTTTGACTTCTTTTTAATATCTTTATAGTAATTTCCATGACTTCTACTTTTTATATGTTTTTATACGTTTCTGTCATTGGAATTTATAAAGGCTTAGAATTAGGATAGCGGAGTAGTGTTTCCTAAGTTTAGGTTTTAACCCTTTTAATTCTATTCTTTCTCGTGGCTTGTTATCGCTGACTTCTGTGTATTCTTCTCTTCATGTTTCTTCTTTTAAATTTAGTCGGAACTTACGTTTCTATCTATATGCAGAGATTATTACGCAAGAATTTATTTGCAGGGATTTCTTCACATTACAGAATCACATATGATGACTGCATAAGAAGACTGTTTCAAATATGTATTTATTTATTTATGCATTAATTTAATTTTATCTTTATTTTTAATTTTCTTACTGCCGGATGTCTTCCACGAAAACTACTCCCAACCTGACGTTGGGGACAGCCTACTACCCTACTTCCCCCTTACTCCCATTGTATACGGGAATAGGGTTTTGTTGTTGTTGTGTCTGCACACGAGTGGAGGAGGTAAGGAGGGGAGACAAAAAAGTGGTTCAATTCAACCTCAAGATTTCTGAAATGTGCAAGAAGTTAATCCATGTAGAAGTCTAACAAAGCCCAAGAAACTTAGCTTCCCTTCTGAGTGCCTAATCCAGTCTTGAAGAACAACGTGAACAGGTACTGATGAGCTAAGTCCAAGTTCCTGCAACGTACACAAATGGTTTACCATTTAGAACAACATGATTTGAGATTTCACAGGCCTCGTTTCAGACCCTCGCTTGGTAATCATGGTATAGGATAAATGGAAGAATCTCATTCTCAACTGAGTGCTCTATATGTCTCTCATCTTAATATTTTGCTGCAATAAGATGTTCTCGAACACTGGATTCTAGTTGGGGTTCAACCATTTCTTTTTCATATATTTTGCCCCTTAGTTTCCTAGGTTCTATGCCATGATATAGGTAATTGCCTTCAGTTTTACAATACCTAGGCTAGGGATACTATGACGAAGACAGAAACAGAGAGACAAGCAGGGAAGACTTACCGAGGCAAGTTCCTCTATCATAATGGGCCTGTTTCCATCCTTATCGAACAAATCATATGCACAACTTGCATGTTGCTCCCATGTTTCCATTCCTTCTAGCTGACGCACACTTATCGCAGAGGCACAAAATTCTTCGAAGTTCAATTTTCTATACTGAATACAACTAATCTGCACAACACAGGAAAAACAAGCTTATAGTATATCATTTTAAAGTTTAAACACGTTCCAAGTATTCTTTCAGAGGCTCTCCTCAAGGAAAAGATAAAGTAGATGAACTTGGAAGCTTTACCATGTTGACATAATCAAGGACCCGTGAATCCTTCATAGCATCAGTAGAATTCTTCAACATTGCCTGCAAATTCCATGCTATTTAGCATGACTTACAATGGATAAAAATTACAGCAAACAGTTAGAGAAAGTATCACACAGTCTTAAAATTCTGCATGGAAATAAATCCACTTTTGTTGGGTCCTAATAATGTGAATTGTTCCCGGAGATAAGCAAGCTGCGGAACAGTTAACGTCTTGGCAAGAGCCTGCCATAATAGGGAAGCTTCAGCCAAGGTATCGAAATTCGCAAGGCTTGTTTCTTTATATCAATAATATAGGTCAATCATAAGAATCATAATTCAACTGAAACCTAATAGCACCATTCATGGTACAAAGTGTCAATAATTCAGCATATCTCGGCTAGTCTACCTTATATTATAAGTTCTGCCAAGTTCTATTTGGTTTTACTTTGTTTTGCGGTTGTAAGTATTGAGTGGAAGGAGCATAGAAGCACTGTAAGTGCTTGGACTGGTTCTGTAGGATCTTAGGAAACCCATCTGGTTTATATATCTCATACCATGACAAGTTCACCATTACACGTTTATTATATTTACATAAACCAATCTAATGCCCAAGGTAATAGTAGAATAAGTCATTGTTCCTTCTTGTCTTCTCTTCCATTTTATAATTTACTTTCAAAAGTACACAACAGCAAACAGGATCTCTCTTAATTACACTAGACCTCTGTACAATGCCGTGTGTGACAAAATGAAATCACAATGTTTAATCATTGAGTTGCATGGAACAGCTAAAAACAAAGATGAGCAAATCAGTGGCTCAAAGTTGTAGAAAATAGGGTTGGATGTAGAAAAATCAATGGCTTCAAATT